ACGGGAACGGGGTGAGTCATGGTATTCACGCGAGGGAAGAGAAAGGGAAAGAGAGAGGGAGGAGAGGGGTTACTACGACCAGCCTTCTGCAACCTCTACCCAAGGTCAATCTGAGGAACAAATCGGGGAGGCTCTGAGACGCGCCAACCAGATGGATGCGAATGACTACGACAACACCAGCCCTGACGGTGATGATCGATCAATGGCTTATGGTTCTTACACACCTGGTGGATCCCGTGATATGCTTGCGTCCGACAAGGCGAAGAGGAAGCGAAACTTCAGTAACCGAACCAAGACGGGGTGCCTTACATGCCGAAGGAGGAAGAAGAAGTGCGACGAGCAGAAGCCGGAATGTAGGAAACGCCCTGGTTTCTTGTTTTCTTATTTTTCGTTGCGAGTGATGGCGCTGACCCTTTTCCAGGTAGCAACTGCCTTCGTGGAGGCTTTGTCTGTGCAGGATATCCTCCGCAGCGTAATACGGCATGGCAGAAGCCGGATAGCAAGGCCGCCGCCATCCCCTTGGAGTCCAAGGACCCCAGCTACGTCCCACCCGGCGCATATGGCATGCCACAGCAAACTCCTTACGGCAGCCAACCAGCTGTCGGACCAAGACGAGAGGCATTACCTCCCTACCGTGGCCAGCCATTGCGGATAGACCCTCCCCAGGGCCGACCCCTACTGACTGACGACGACCGGCCGACAGCCTCGACGATTCCCAGTGCATCGGTTGCGAGCCCCGAGACCAAGCTATCCGCCATTCCCTACACTCCAGCGAACGCGTTCCCGACGCCGATCAGTGCTCAAGGGCCTCCCCATGCCCCCTTCTCGGAGAGAAAGGATTATCAGCGTGTGCCCCCGTTGCACGACATTAGCAGGACTGTGCCGGAACCGGAGACGCCTCATCCTGGCAACACGCTGCCGCAAATCAACATTCTGCACCCCACGAGGTCGAACAGCCCTATTCCGCAGCCTCCAGCAACTAGCAATGCACAAGTCGCTGCGCAGCTAGCCTTGTCGCACACCCAGTTTTCTTCCAGTCGGTCTAGGACGACGAACAAGGAGGATATGCTTGCCGGCAAGCTCTACTACCCATTCGACAAGGAGCTTGTCCTTGAGCGCGAACGGTGCAGCGCCGCATGTTGGCGATTCAACAACTCAACGAACCCCAACAACGGTGTTTCACCAACGGAGCGAGGCCGCCTGTTCCGTGAGATTTTGCAGCCTCGCGACCCTATCCAGCTACCGCCGACAGTCGCATCGCCGGTGACCAATGTTGGAAGAGTGGGCGAGCACGTTATTGTGGAAGCGCCATTCACTTGCGACTACGGGTACAATATCTCTATTGGAAAGAACGTAGTTGTTGGCCGAAGTTGCACCATCATCGACACCTGCGAGGTCAGGATTGGCGACAACTGCCACATTGGACCGAACGTTAGCATTTACGCAGCAACGCTACCCACCGACCCCAAGAAGCGCCTAGGTAGCAAGGGCCCTCAACTTGGCAAGCCTGTGACCATTGAAGAGGACTGCTTCATTGGCGGAGGAGTCATTATCTTGCCAGGCGTAAGGATTGGGCACGGAAGCACTGTTGGGGCCGGTGCGGTTGTAACCAAGGTATGTTGGACATGAGCTCCCTAATCATGAAACTCTAGTCTAACAAATTCTGCAGGACGTCCCTCCCTTCACCATCGCCGTCGGCAACAACGCCAGAATTATCCGCGGCATTTCCTCCTAATACAGCACTTGGTCTCTGTCTGCTTCCCTGTCTCTTCCTCGCTGCTATGATACCCCCAGCTGCGTTTTATTGTACAAAAGCGTGTGTGTACGTGTGTCAATTTTTTCAAATCTTATTCTTTTTATTCCACATCATTTCATATCATTGTTTCTACGATGGCGAGCCAAGCGCAAGGAGCAAAAGAGGGAACCATTAAAAAGAGCCTGGCGTTTTCTAATACATTGGTTTCCTTGACAAGAAGCAAGCTGGCTGGATGGGGAAACAGGCCCCATGAGTCTAGCTGAGCTAGTTGGAGAAAAAGCACGGGGAGAGGCACTGGTTGTGTGGGGGTTTAACTCTGGTAGCTCTAGACGGAGGCCGGATGGGCGGGCTTACATTGGCAGCAAAAAGCCGTCAGTGCAGGTTCGGCCGGGGGCGGGTTCAAGAGGAGGCAAAAAGGGTTGATGCGTGTGTGTTGTGTGTTTGTATCTTGACGCTGCCCGGGCAACGAGATGCTGGGCCTAAGATCGGTAGCTTTTTTGCATGAGGCAAATGAAGTTGTTGCAAAACGGATGTCAATGATTCGATTCAACCTTGTGCAATGTGATCAAGGCTCATTGGTGCTCATCATGGAAATCCAAACTGCTGTATCCTTCGTGATCCTGCCGCTCCTCACAGACGCGGGCACATGCCGTACCAAAGTAGCCCTATGAGACAGTAGCGTGCAGCGTCAAAATGTTTCAAGCTTGTCAAGAGATCTCTGGCCCCTCCTTTGGGACCCTATATAGATGGGATGACGGGATCACGAAAGAAAACGGTGTGGGAAATAGGGGTCATGGCGCGGTAGAGAGAGAGGGACTGGTCGGATGCGTGCCAGTTCCGATAAACCACATACGCGCAGCAGACGCCGTGCAAGTGATGATGGATGGGAAGTAGGTTAGGTTCGTTAGGTAGGTGTAGTCCTTTTTCTTTTCCAAAGCGCCTTCTCCGTAGTGGCGTGTCGTATCGAAATGTTTCAAGATCTAGGGGTAAAGTACGGCGGTTGGATCGTGCAGGTTCTGCAAAGAGGAAGAGAGAGAGGTTTTGACGATGTAAGATGGGATGATGGGGATCACGGAGCAAAGCAGAGACCAAATTGCCTTCCATCGATGGGGGGGTGCTTAGAGTTAGAGTAGGGTCATGGCGGTAAGATACCTTGAATTGGCGCTACAATACGATAACTCGTTACTCTGTGACTTGAGGAGCAAAGATGCCGGTGGGATTAGTTCCCAGCCTTAGCGGTTGTTTTTGCCTACTTGCGAGGGAAGGGCGTGGTGTGTACGTTGCGTTTCCTACCTAGCTCGGGCCGTGCGTGGAGGGAAGTCTAAGAGACGGGCACCGCCCTTTTGCCCGCATACGGCCCGTGGCGATGGTGAGAAACAGGAGGAGATAGTAGGAGGAGGAGGAGGAGGAGGAGGAGGAGGAGGAATGCAGCGCTAGTGGCGCTAATGATTTCACATTCCAGTAATCGATGAGAAGGAAAATAAAGGTAGGAGAAATGCAATGCAGGCGCGGGCATTGGAGTAGGTGATTCTCGGATCTGGGGTGTGCTCTTGTCGGATAATCTGTATGTGTATGTATGTGTATGTGAGGTTGGAGGTTGGAGATTTTGGGTGCATGTGAACGCGGGTTTGCAGAGGTATGTACGCCAGGCGCTTCGTTCGCGCCTTTGCAAAGAGTGACAGGTCAAGGTGAACATGAAAGCTTGAAATACTGATGCGCATACGGGTCATTGGACGGCATGAGGGCGTTTGACGGATGGCGGAAAACGAAGAGAGAAAGTGTTTGGACGTTTTCCTGTTTTCCGCGGAGGGGCGTGTGTAGAGTGAAGTTGAGGGGATTACAACATGGGCAAGACGATTGACTTTTTGACGGGAGAAGGTCTGTGTCTGTTGTTTTTTTTTGGTTTTTTTTTTTTGGGTGTTCCTGTTCCCATCGGACAGGAACGTGTTTACTTGCGATTCTTACCAGCTCTCACCTGTAGTTGAGCATGTGAGAGGGATGTGGAAGGGAGACACACGCCCTGCTAGAGAATTAACGGACGAGAGCGAGCGAAGCTTTTTGATTCCATCATCGTGGAGGCTCGCTTGAGGAAGGGAGGTTCGTGTGAATGTTTCGGCGTTTAGGAAAAGAAAGTTGGGACGTTTCCGACAGAGTAGAAAGAGAGAGGAGACAAGGGACAGGGCTTTGCCATATCGTAGTACGGAAAACTCCGTAGTGGTAGCAGTTCGTTCCGGTGGATTGATTAACATTTTCTGTAAACTCGACCTAGAGATGCGAGATTTGCCTTGGCTCTGCATGCTCTCACAGCTTAATCGTTCATCGGTAAAGCTTCTCTGAAGCCCGCTCAGACATTCCCCCCCCCCTTTTGTAGACTCAAGTAGAAGGGGGTCGAGGAGGACTAAAGGAAAAGACTTTCCGCGATTTTTTGCCTTTTCCTCACAAAAAGCGAGAGAGAAAGGACGTGCTCGTCGAATGCAGAGCCGCCCGTCCCCTAAAGATTTGATCGATGACACATTGACGTCTATAAATGGCATACAGTCTCGATGTAGAAAAGCCGCATTTCCGACACCTGTGATGGGAGGGTCTAAAAGGGATGTCAATGTATTCGCGGTGGTGTTTATATCGGTTTTCTTGTTCTTTGGTGTTCATGAGACGACGTTGAATAGAAGGTGAAGCTATAGATCGCTTACTTGAGAAGTTGAAGTGCCATACGTGGGGTGCCGGAGATGTAATACTTCCGAAAGGGGAATGTGTAAAATCCGGGGATTATCCCCGACTAACAAGCTCCCCTCCTCCCTTTGAGCGAGGGGATGAAGCCTTCCTTTGACTGTGATGACGATTGCTCGTCTTCTTTTGCTGACTGACATTGGTCACGTTTTCGTAAAACTTGGATCTGTATTGCTCTCACGAATACGACTCCATACTTTTTTGTTCTTTCTCTTCCCCGAAAGACACAGCAGCTAAACTCCGGACACAACTTCATCCCAGATCGGTAATCCATCTCGGACCTCGTCTTACTTCACTATTGCCCAAGCTCACATCTCTATACACCACTCTACGGGTTTCCGCGGGACCAACTCGGCCGATAGGTCTCTCCCCACACACCGACAACCTTATTCGGGGGTGTGTTCCGAAGAAAAGGGGGTAAGGCATTGCAGAGAAAGAAAGAGAGACAGAGTAGATCTGGGTGGTGGTGGGACCCGAGCCGACCCGGCCCGCGCAAAGAACCCAAGGGAACAGAACAATGTCGTCCTCGTCGGACATTGCCCAGTTCACGTCCGTCTTCCGCGCCCAGTCTCTGTCCGACGGCCAGCGCAGGGTGACAAAGCGCAACCGCCAACCCGTCTCGTGCCTCGCCTGCCGCGCGCGCAAGCTGCGATGCGATCGCGCCCTCCCGTGCGGTGCGTGCGTTAGGCGCGGAGACGAGGGGGCATGTAAGTTTGGGCCTGCTGCTTCTGTCTCTGCTTCTGCTCCTGCTTCTGCTCCTGCATCTGCATCTGCATCAACACCATCTACAGTCTCTGCAACTACGCCAGGCGGCGCTAATGCTGGTACCGGTGCCGGTTCTATTACCGTTTCTGGAAGTGCTGCTATTCCTGTCACTTCTGGGGAAAGCATCGGGAATACTCTAAGCTCGAGCACTCGAGGAAACGGGAAGCTAGCCGCTGTAACTTCAGATGGAGCTCGTCATCGTGGTGGGAGTGGCGCGGGACAGCAGCCGCGTCCGGAGGTTCACTTCCGGCTCCGAAAGTTGGAAGACATGGTCCAGGACCTCGTCAGGAGGGGCATGACTTCATCCAAAGACCGCGACCGGAACGGCGCCCAGCCGGCCCCGGCTCCGGCTCCAGGGTCGGGCCCCACCAACCCGACCGGGACCGTCGTCAACACCGTGCCGACGCCGCCGACTGACTCGGAACCACCCCGGAGCGGAAGCAGCACCGGCGGCGACGACTCCCCAGCCCCGATCCCCGTCGACGGAGACGACGCCTACTACGGCGCAACACACTGGACGGCCCTCCTCCACCACATACGCGAAATCAAAACCGCCCTCGAACCAGACCCGACCGTCGGCCCCGAACCGCCCGAAGGCGCCGTCTGCGCCATCGGCCCAGACTTTCTCTTCGGCGCCGTCGTCCCCGTCTCCATGCCTGAGGTTCTCCACAGCCTGCCTCCGCGACAAGACCTCGACAGGCTCCTCGGCGTCTACTTCAACGCCCGCTTCACCGCCGTACCTTTTATCCACGTCGGCCGCTTCCAGCGCGAGTACGACGCCTTCTGGGCCAACCCGGAGGCTACCTCCTGGCTCTGGATCAGCATCCTCTTCTCCATCCTCTCCAACGCCACCGTCATCGTCCGCGGAAAGGGAAACGCCGAAGCACTCGGCCTCAACCCCGCAAAGCTGAAGGAGGCCTCGGCGTACTCGGGCCGCGCGGTTCAGTGCCTCATCAAGGGCAACTACCTCGCCGCGAGACCCTACTCCGTCGAAGCGACCATCCTCATCGCCTACTCCCGCGCCCTTGGCAGCAGGGACATGGACCCGATCCTCTGGAACATGTTCGGCGTCGCCACGCGCCTGGCTCAGCGTCGCGGCTACCACCTCGAGCCCTCGCACCTCTCGGTCCCCATCTCTCCCTTTGACGCCGAGATGCGCCGCCGCGCGTGGTTCTACTGCGAGGCCTTTGATCTCCTGCTCTCCTTCCAGCTCGGCATGCCGGCCATCGTCCACGAGGGCGACAACGACGCCCGCGGGCCCGGGAACCACCCAGACGAGGACTTTGACGAACACACGACGACGATGCCGCCGCCGCGCCCGCCGACGGAGGCTACGCCCGCGCTGTACTACTGCTTCAAGTCCAAACTCTGCCGGATACTACGCCGCGTCATCCGCCACGCCCTATCCCCCGCGCAGCCCGCCTACACCGAGACTCAGGCCCTCAACGAGTCCCTGCACGCCTGGCACGCCTCCCTGCCCGCCGTGCTGCGCGTGCGCCCGATCCGGGAGACGGGTTTCGCGGAGCAAAATTATACCGTGATGCAGCGGCTGATGCTGGAGTTAATGTACAGTAAAGCGCTGTGCGTGCTGCACAGGCGGTATCTTAGCAGGGAAAGGGGCTGTTATAACGGGGACCCGCGGTTCGCTTCGTCGCGGGAGATTTGTAGGGCTGCGGCGCTGCGGGTGTTGGATTTTCATGCCGAGTTTGATCGGGAGGCGAGTCCGGGCGGGAGGTTGTTTGAGGATCGGTATATGTTGAGTAGTTTGACGTTGCATGATTTCATGATTGCTGCCATGGTTGTTTGTTTGGATTTGAATGAGAGTACGGATACGAGGTATGTTTTTTTTTCTTTCCTTTTCATCTTTGGTTCTTAAACCTTCCCCTTCTTCCCCCCGGCCCCCCTCTTCTTGCTTGAAAAGGGGTTCAAGAGATAGGTTACGGAGTAGGGAGGTTTGACTTGTTTGCTAATGACTGAGGAAGTGACGAGGACTACGAACGGAAAATGGACGCTCTCAAAACAGCTAGCGAGATCTGGTCGCGCAGGTCAGACTGCTCCAAGGATGCGAGGCACGCGGCGGCGGTCCTGCGGGCCATGGTCCAGCGGCTTTCGCGCCAGAGGAAAGATGTATCTCGGCACCAGATCGATGATGCCACAAAGATGACGCCGACGGTGACGTCGAGTACGGTTGGTAGTAGTTTCGACGGCATATATCGAGACCCAATCCTGTTTAGCGAGCCGCTGAATCTGAACTCTGGGCTTGGCGATGTCGCTGGCTTGTCTGATCAGGAGCCGGGCCAGAGCCAGGGTCTCGTTGGTGAGGGGGCGTATCGTGGTGATGAGTTTGATTTCATGGCGTTGGATAATGCTTTGAATGATCCTGCGAGTGTGGACTGGGTAAGTTTCGATATGTGCTTCGTTGAGAGTCGTGGTAGAAGAGCTATTAGCTGACGTTTGAGGCAGAGCATGTTGGATCAATACCTGATGCTGGATCGGAATGGGGAACTGGCGATGGACATCTCTCATGATTAAAGCTCCGTTGCCTCGGGCGTCTGATTACGGTGGCGGAAGTAGAAGAGGAGTCAATCGGATAGGAGTAGCGGGTCTAGACACTCTATGTCGGATTGCGAATCAGGAGACTTAGGAGATGGCTCATGCATAAGTTTCTGGTTCATTCTCCAACTCTGGCCGTATAATTAAGGACCGCAGTCTGTCCCCAGAGATATCGGGAAGAAACTAGCAGCCCCACCTGACACTGTTCGTTGCCAACGACATTATACGTCCTGGATCGCCATGGACGGCAGTGTAAGAGCCACCTTGCTGCAATAGAGACAAGTTCTCATGAGCAGTCGGTGTACAGATGCCGGAGCTAGGAGATATGCTCTCACTCTTCTTCCCTTGCCACTGCCTAGCATCTCTTACACGCACTTGGTACATGTTCCTCACGGAATACCCTGTCAGGGGTAGTAAGTACCTAATCGCGATGTAGCTGTGTTGGAAGAAGCTCTTGGGCGGTTTTCGATTCTATAATAACTTGGTTCCACTCTGTTTCCTCATTCTCATGGCTGACCCCGCCGCGCCTGACCCTGACGAGGCAGAGGCAGCCCGAGACATGCTCTGCCTAGCGGAACCGTAAGTAGAGGTCTGCCATAGACGTATTTGTAGTGGGCGATTTATATCTGGTCTATGAGAGAGAAGGGCCTTACTTTATAAGCACGGGACATCCCCACATAGCAGGTCCCGAGTACTCTCTCTCAATTAAACACCAAAAACAAGTTTCACTCTCGAGAGGTAATTCGGTCGGACCTTACCTTGTATGCCATAGCATAGAAGACCTAGCGGCAACTTACTACTACCAATACCGATATTTCACTCAGCCATTCACGGCGCAGTTCGAGCCAGTTTCTTAGTGGGCGATGCCCGATGGGAGACTCTGCTTAATATGCCGGGAGTAATAAGGTAGAAAAATAAATAAATATGCCGGGAGCCTATAAACTTCGGGACCTGGGATAGCTCCTTTGTGGAACTCAATGTCACAGCAGAAAGTGTACTTGAAGTTCTGCATTCCATCGCTAGCTTGGAAATGATTAAATCTAGAACAAGAACTGCCCATCAAAATCTCTTACACGCACTCAACACGTACTCCTCCCAGGATATCCCACCAGGTGTAGGTGCTAGACTAAGATGAAGCTGCTTCGGAGGAAGCTCTTGGACCCTTTAACTTCGTGATGGGCTGGTCACTGTTTGCTCAATTTAATCTAAACTCACATCAGCACAATGCAGACAATCTGAGTCGCATAAGTGGTGAAGAATATCTTTCTGAGCCGGGAGAGGGCCTGCTTTTATCGGTACTACAATGACCAGATATCGGTTGCGAGTTCTCCTCTGACTGTGGATGAGGGTTAAACCGTCCAATTCATCATGTACACAAGTACGACGGCTTTCCCTCTGAAGAGACGTACGGGCATACCAAGCTGACAGAACACGTGAGTAAAGCCGCCTCGGTGTTTCCGCAAAGCCGAGTCAATCATTCAACGATCGTAGCCTATATATCATTTTGAAAGGGGGCGAACACATCATCTATTATCGTCACCCTTCCTCTCTCAGACACATCTATAACGCTCACATTACTCGCCCGGCCCCGGGTCTATCATGACCATTCAAGTACCTTATTCTTTTCTAGCCTAAATCCTATATCGATTTAACTGATGTTGAAACATGCAACTAGATAATAGTCATGCCCCCCAAAGTTCACCATCCTCCGGATTCCGCATGTAACTTATATGGTGACTTGGTGACATCGCCAACAGCAATGCCTACCTATGCAAGAAAAAGACGACCATTCCAAGTTTGCGTTCGTCAAGTAGTGTAACTTTACGAGTTCATGTTCCTTATCAATGAATATGCAAGGCAAGCAAGTCTGCTGCTGTTGCTGCAGCGTGAAACCTAGTGATTTACACTAAATCATCGTGTCATGTCACACGGGCAGGCCGTGGAAAGTGTCCCAAATCGTGAAGACGTCAAGGTCAGGCTCGGCGTCTCCAATATCAAAACAACCGACGAACGATGGCATGCCACGTCAGGAAACAGCATAGGTCAAGAAAAGGTGTGGTGTAAAGTTTCATGTCCATTGTATCCCTCTCTCTCTTCTGTCTGTCTATCAGCCTCCACACAACTCTCCCCGAAACATCTCTCTCAACTGCCGTCTCGTAGTCACCAACCCTCTCCCCAACAGCGCAGTCGCCTCAAGCTGTGCCGGACACGGCGAGCCCTATTATCAACTTTAACGAAAACGTGCGGCAGACCCTGACCCAATGCTTAAAAACCCCTGCAACCGCCATGCGCCGTGCTGCGCTGTACATTATCAAGTTGTATGTTTTTTGTTTCTCTCCTTAGAAACAGAAAGTTCTTAGTTAAAGAAGGTCCCCATTCCCGAGGTGAGATTTCCATGCCAGTGATTTTATGATGCCCCGACGGCCTCCAAAAGAAAGGACGTCGAAGCACAGATGAAGAGAAAACCAGAAAGAAAGGCTAGTGTGTTCGTCATTATCCCGGAATAGCCAGTGTGTGCGCTGGATGCTACTCCGTGGTCGTCATGCGGGAAAAAAGTGTAGCTCAGAGGATGAATGAGTTTTCGTCGGAAGAGATGAAGAGTGACGGACAAAGGGGATTGGTGGGTGGTGAAGTAGTCGTCAACCAGGTGTGGCCGCCTGATTTCCCTCAAACATCGATCCGGCATCTGGCTGGGTGTGTCCAGTGGGCATTTATATAGTGGTGAAGTGTAGTCTTAGCCGTCCTTTTGGCAACACGAACATAAACAGAAGCCAAGATTCTAGCCTGTAGAGGTGTTAACTGACACGGTCCGACGATGAGTGAGAGACAGAGGGATACATACCACAGCAAAGCACCTTCATGAACTTTTGGAAGCCTGTGGGCTGGGGCTCAGTAGGACGGCCATTAGGAGGGGCCGGCTGCTGGTTCATCGGTGTCTGTTGAGGAACGTTCTGGGGGAGGTTGCGGTTGCTGTTCTGAAACTGGGCCTGAGTTGAGCCGGTGGGGGTGGCCATGTCCCGAAGACCCCCGACTCCGGAGCCCCGTTGCGCGTTCAAGGCGCCGGGGGCGTTTGGTTGACCTCTCGACTTCGCCATCTGCTTGATCGGAGAAGGAGGCGGGGGTTGCGCGGCGTTTAAACGGCCGACTGTCAGGTTGTTGGGGTTGTTGGGGTTTGCAGCACCGCCCCGATGGCCGCTGTGAAGCTCCATCTGGGACGGGCCGGGTCGAGCATTTGGGTTGTGCAAATATCCGGGGTTGTGTCCCTTCATGGCATCCCATCCCTTGCCGTTGTCCTTGGAAATCTTCATCCAGTCGTACTCACCGTCCTCGACCTCACCGGTGTTCTTCAGGGCCTGAGTGAAGAGCTCGCGGAGGTAGTCGTAGTCGGGGGTGTCCTCAAAACCGAGATTCCGTACGTAGGTCAAGTACTTGTTGAACTCATCGGGGAATCCTTCGCAGAGGTCCTTGATAGGGGTGGTCTGCTTCTTCTCACCAATCTTCTCGTATTTCTGCTTGTTTGTTGCAGCCTTCAGACCTTGCCAGGGAAGACCGCCGCGAAGGAAGTACATGAAGACGTGGCCAAGAGCCTCGAGATCGTCGCGGCGGGATTGTTCGCGGCCGAGATGGGTGTTGATACTCATGTATCGGGCGGTACCGGACAGCGACTTTCGCTCTCTGTAAGGTATGTGCTGCTTCGTCTTGGGGTCGCGGTACTGCTTGGCCATGCCGAAATCGACGACGTGAATCACGTTGGCCGCTTTGGTGCCTGGTCTTCCAATCAGGAAGTTGTCGGGCTTGATGTCACGGTAGATGAGGTTCTTCTCGTGAATAGTTTGCACTCTCGACAGCTGTATCAAGGGTTAGTCGGTTGATGTCACGATCGGGTTAGTTTCACTCACCATCTGCTTGGCAACCATGACGACGGTCTTGATGGTGAACCTTCGGCCGCAGTGGTCGAACAGGTCCTCGAGGGAGGGACCGAGGAGGTCGATCACGAGGATGTTGTGCAGACCCTCCTGTCCAAAGTAGTAGACGTTGGGAATGCCGGCTTCAAAACATAGTTAGTAATGCTTTCGAGAGAGAGATTGTAAATTGGACATACGGCATCCAACGAGAATCTTGTACGTCCGGTACTCATCTCGCAATTGAGGGGCGTCGCTTTTACGCGGCTCCTACGATGAGAAGTAATATTAGCATGATGCTGCAGCGGTGATGGGTGACCGCGACGCCCTTGAACGACGCGGTACCCGATTGAGTGAAGTCGGCGACATACGAATTTGATGGCGACCTGTTGGTTATTCAGGAGGTTGGTGCCCTCGAAAATGACGCCGAAAGAACCCTCTCCAATCTTCTTTCCCACGCGATAGTGCACGCCGACGACGTTGCTCGATGAGGAAGCCATTGCGTCGAAGGCCTACGTCCTATTACGGACCGTAGAGTCGGGGCAAAGGCTGGGCCTGGATGCTCGGTTCAATCGTGTCGGGTGTCGGTCGAGGCGGTCTGATGTAGTCGGTCGGGATTGTTGTATGAAGGTTGGAAAAAAAATGGACGATATGTCTAAAAGGATGATGAGGGTCGCAGGTCAGCTAGCTGCTCGTTATCCCGATGCCCATTTGAGCTGACTGGTTTCGGGAGGCGAAATCAGGCCGAGAGGACGGGAAGGGGGTGGTTGCGTGGTTGTGGTTGCTTGGGAGAGGATTTCAGGAAAGGGAAAGGATAGATGGGGGAGGACTGGGAGAGAATGGATGGAAATTTGGGGCAGGTGGACGGATGGCAGCCGCAGACGAGTGATTACAGTGGGTAATCCGCCCCCCCGGACCACATGCACTGCACGGGGAGTGCGAGGAAGCTGGCGGGAAAAGGATGGGCTGGACCGGGCCTAGGCTTGGGCTTGGGGCTTCCCAGGGCTGTTACTGGCAGGTAGCCGCTGGGTACGGATGGAGGTGGTAACTGGTTGAGAAGGAACTTGAGTGGTGCCGGGAGCCTGGAGGTGCAGTGCAGATGGAGCGAAGAAGGGGTACTCTGCAGAAAAGAAATAAAAATAAAATAGAAACATTGAGGTGAGAGGAGTTGGTGGTGTCGTGGTGGTGCTGTACACAGTACAGGCATGTTGCTGCTGTTGTGCTGTGCAGCCAGCGCCCAGCGAAATTGTTGGCTCGGTGCCGGGCCGGGCTCTCTCTCTCTTTCAGACACACACACACACCGCGGTAGGTACACACACGCACGCGCGCCCAACACACGAATCGTCTAGCCTTGGCCTGAGGCCGAAGCTGAAGGTAACCAAAGAGAAAGAGAAGAGGGGACGGGAGAATGAGGGTACGGACACAGGCGGTGATGGCCCAGGCAAGGGTGCATTGTGCAATGTGCAGGGGACGACAATTCGATCGGGTGTTGCTTGTGCTGAGGCGTCCCATCCGTTCGTTGGATGCCGCCTTGTGCTGTGCAGCAGCGGGCGGGTGGACTCGCTCATCACAGCCTCCCCGTTTCTTGCTTACCTAGGGTCTAATTGTTTCTGTTTCTGCCTTTTTAGCTGAGGTCGACCAATTCTTGTCCTGCTCTTTCCGCAGGCTCTCTCCTCGGTGCTGCTGACTTGATTTTGTCGTCGTGGGCAGACCGGCTAGTCTGACGCTTTAATTCGTCTGTTGTTATTGTTGGAATGTATTGTCTCGGGGGCGACAACAGGGAGGCGGTGCGAAGGCTGAGTCGTATCTCGCCGTTGTCGGGTTGTGCCGGTGAATCGTCTCCGATCGAGGCTTGTCGAGGCGAAGAGGAGCGCGACTGGAAGGAGGGGAGGAAAAGGGAAGAAGAGAGGGAGGAGAAAAAAAGAGAAAAGAGAGGGAGGGATAGATCCAGAAAGGTGAGATGCCACTACTCCGTATTGACGGTGTCGTCAACGGTCCGGGTGAAATTACAAGCGACGCCTCAACCTCTCGATAACTGAACCTGCCTTGCTACGCTCACCGTGGCCCACACTTCACTTTCAATGAGCGATGGGGGGTCAGATCAGTTCTGGGCTCAAGGTCCAGGTCCCAAGTCCAGTTTCCAGGATTGGTAAAGTGAGCAACAGCCGTCGGGGGGGGAAGCGAGAAGAGGAGAGCCACGAACGACGAACGTGTGGGCGGCTGTCTGTCGAGGGGGGGGGGAGGGAATGGATCTAATGTCTAATTTCAACGGACGAGGGGGCCGGCGCTGAATAGTACGGTGAGTGGAAGAGCACTTTGGGAATATTGGGACGACTCGGAGAAGATTGGAAGGATGGAGGATTTGGGAGCACAAACACAAACCGGCTTTTAGGCCTGACCAACGCTTCGCGACAACATAATAACCACCATCAAACGCAGGACAAGCTGTTCAGCCCGGGATTGGTTTGCGTTGAAAATGGCATAAGAGCTGTACGGCCGCCCCGAGCTGCCTCCCGGTCTCCCTCCGGCATGTCTTGTATCTGTTCCGTACAGAATGGTGAGAGGTTACGGATAGAAATAAGGTATCTACCGCAGTATGTAGGTGTACAACGATACGTACCTGGATAAGTTTGAAGATTACTTGGATAAGCACCTAATAAGGTAGGCAGGGAAAGCATTGAGCAACCGGCCCTGACCTGACGGCCTTATGCTAAGGTACCTGGCCGGCTTGAGCATGGTGAACGGACACCGACAGTCGACACCAACAAGAAAATAAAGCACAGACCAGCCGATGGCAATGGCGTGTCACCTTCCAGGCTTGAAGGTTCACAAAGGAGAAGATACCAACTAGTGCCTGATTACTGAGGTTCTAGACGCAAAGATACGTACCGTCTTCGACACTTTGAATCCACAAAAAAACCAAAGAGTACCTCCAAAGATACTTGTCGGAGAGGGAAGGTACCTTGTCTACCTTAGGTTACCGACAACTCTGGCGGAGCAACCTGACCACTGGTAGTGGATTTCCCTCTGCCAAGGCCAAGGGCAAGAACGGCCTAGTAGGCCGGTACCTGTCGTCAACCCAATCTCCAACCAATTTCCCATGTACCGGAGTCGACTTCTGCTTTGGGGCGTCTACCGTCTGCTACAGCCTACACCTTGACCGTTCCGCCCCTCTCTCTCAGTTGGCTCCAATTTGCAGTACGATCTTCCCTTCTCACTCTCACCCAACTCCTCGCTCGACGTTACTTTTACTCCGCTCAACGTTGCCGTCCGTATCCTCTTTTTACGATCTATATGACCTTGCTGGAGAATCCACGCCGTATTCGTCTCTTCTCGTCTCGTCTCGTCTCGTCCCAATCTCGAATCAAAACGACCTCCTTTTCTTTGCACTTCAGAATAGGAGATTCGAACTATTACGGAACTCCGGCGCCCGCCCTCTGCATCCATCCTCATCTGAAATCCAGCCACCCGTGGCCCGTCGTCTGTTTGCCAGGCATCCGTACGGATAGTTCTCTATCTACGGGCCCCCGCCAGTCGCTCTCAGTCTCTGTGCTGTGCCGTGCCGTGCCGTGCCATAGGTATTCTACGGGCGAACGACCACGGGAGAGAGACACTGAAGTCTGACGCTGCACCGCGGGCAAGGGTCATGGCAGACACCAACGGATAGCCCGTCCAACGATACGCCAGGGGAAACGGGGACACACGTTCGCGCCTATCTCGTCCAGGATGGTGCATGTTCCTTTGCCCGTAAGCATTGCGGCAATCCCAAGCCAAGCCAAGCCCAAACAGCAGCGGAAAGCCGCGCTAGAAACGACCCTAGAAAATATACGGCGTGTGCCCTGTGCGGGGATCGAGGTCCGCTGACGGCCTAGTCTGCGTCCGCCGCATATCTCGCTTTGTCCCCGTGGACGACGAATTTCATATCCTAGCCGCAACAGGCCTTGCCCTTCACCTTCCATCGGCCGACGACCCCTTTCAAGGGAGCCTGGAAACCTCAAAACAAGGGGCAACGGCCAGTCTGAGATATGTCTGACTGGGAGACGACGGATATGGCTCCTCGGCCGTTGACGTCCAACTCACAGTGTCGCCTTTGTCTACGGAAGTGCATCAGGCGAAGACCCCCGACACCCTGAATCGTGTTGGATCCCACATTCCAGACATCCAAACGTTGACATCGGTTGCTTGTCGGCAATGGAGGGTGTCCTTCAAGAAAAGATTTCCAAGACTTGTCGATACTTGTCACTATTCCCACGGGGCATCTTGACGATGACACAAGGCGGTCCCCTTCTCATAGCAGTCACTTTACTCTTGGCGGTTGACATTGTTCGCTCGACATGTTCGCGCGTCCCACATGGCATGAATGTGTATTTCCCTGCAAACCATCACAATTACCCTTTCAATCCAGCGAAAATTCACATCCTCGGCAAAGGCATAACAGCATAAACTGTGGCCCAAGCACCATGCCGCTAGCCCAGTCAGAACACCCAATGGCACGCCATTAGTCGCCTGTTCAACGCAGAAGAAGAAAAAGGCTCGAGAAGGTTGAAAAATGGAGGATCACCAACACGAACCCACGCGTATGCACCCGTTGCAGGTGCTGAAGGCGCCGCTGTCCAATGGCTTTTCTTCCTGCAGCAGAACCTTGCCCGTACCGGCTTGGACCTGCAGCGGCGCTACAGTCCGGCTCGTTTTGTCCCCCACCGCCGCGATGCCGCCCGAGATGCGGTGAAAGACCGCCCCGCCCCGTTCCATGTGTGAGTTCCCCATAGCGTCGTCAACCAACAAATGCCTCCTCATGGCTGGAATACCGCTTAGGCTTGCCATTCGATACGGACTGCCTCTACCCTGGCGATGGGGGTTCTCTTCTGCCCTCTCAACGCTACCTGTCGTGCCCATCATCCGATGTCTACGCTATCTACTCCCGAGTCCCATCACCACTCGACAGGCGTGGCTCACCCACCAGCCAACCATCCGCGCTCCCTCCGCCTTACGGTTTCACTTTTCTCCCGCCCATCCCCGTCAGCTGGCCCTCCCACCCACCAGACATATTCTCCAACGTTCAAATGAAACGCTGACCCATCTAGCACTCCTCCAAGTCTCAACCGCGAACAGGCCTCCCCGCGTTCATCTTGGGCCCGTCGTCCAATGAATAAATCCTATCAGGCCGTCTAAACCACACCGTAGCTCTCGTCTAACTCGTCACAGTCACAGGGCAGACGCACTCACTAACACTAACAAACCCGTTCGAATACACGTTGGACCCGACGGCGTTTCCGCTTCTATGGTGATTATCTTTTCGTTTCGACTCGGCGAGTCGAAGCTGACAGTCTCACTGAACCCAGAGTCACGGCTAGTCAGCCAGCACTTACATGGCGAATCAGATTCTCGAGACGCCTTAGAGTTCGCAAGTCATGTCTCAAGACAAAGGCCCGCCTCTGTAAGCAATGCTAGGATGCGTGGCTCGCTCTCCTCGGCACGCTGTGGCTTGCGCACTCCATGTGAATGACGTTGGGGGCTCTTTTCGTTGCTGGGCGCCTTGCTATCATTGTCCTTTGGGACGACGGGACGGCATGAATTGTGGCTTGGCCAGAGTTGTCGGACGGCAACTTACCCCTCCAGCGGGCGGCATCAAGATTTTCCCCATTACCATCTTGGTGGGTTGAGGGTGTGAAGGGTTGACTCTATCTTTTTCGTTTCCCAAACAGACCTTGGCACAAGTCTAATTGCGAGTGCGAGCCGCGGAAGCCAGGTCGGTAGGTTTTGTGTCTCGACTTTTCGGCCACGGGTGGGTTCACTTGATTCAGACTGCGAGCAGAATGCTTCAAACTTTGCTGCTACTGCTGTAGCTGGGGAGGAATTCTACCGTTTAGGTAGGATTTTGGTTGATTGACATATGGATTGATCGCCGTGGATAAGCTGCTCTAAATTTGGAAAACCCGGATCCCTGTACGACTTACGGGGTGGGAATCCCTAACCGTACGTTGCCTTTCTTTGGAGACCTTTTTTTTTTTTTTTCTTTTTCATAGAAGGCCGTGGATCGGCGAGGCTTCAAGCCTGAAGAACTTTGAAAAGCCCCTCCGTGCCTTTTCCCGGCTTGGCCAGTGCTTCCTTCCCCGGTTACACGGGAGAAGAAAAACGAGAACGCGGCGCGCACTCCGGTATCATGTTAACTGGCACGAGAAGAAGGCGGGCGCGCCGCGCGTGTCATCGTCGTCGTCGCCTTCGGGTTGCTTTGTCTCTGAGATGCACCCTTTGTCCGTGTAAGTTAAGGGGGCGGCCGGGTGGCTGGGCGGGTGGCGAATGTGTAGTTTACATACCACGCGATATGTCGTGGGAGTTATACGTACGTATACGTAAACCGGACTTGTGTTTGACGACGACGACGTTGGCGAAACGTCCACCTTTGAAAGAAACAGCAGAAAGGAAAAAGAAGAAAAAGAAAGAGGTCAGTGAAAATAGTACGGAAGAACAATAATACATCGCGGAAACGCAATCGGATGTCTCGTACAGAGTAGAGAGTACTGGGTAGATTGAATGACATCAACCTGAAGCTGGAAACCCCACGGAGCTTTGCAACATGTTGAAGCCGATTTGGCCACAGCACTCGAGGAAACTAATTCGACCTCGTTGCCATCAACTCCAAATCCCATGTCCGAAGCTCTCGCCGAAGTAGGCCAACCTCTCCCTCTCGCGTCCCACAACCATCGTCACGGGACTCGCGTCACGATGAATCACACCTTTCCAAACCCTGCACAAAGTTACATACTTAATCCAAAGTATTGGAGTGGAAGCCCATTGACTAACAGCATCATACAAGTCAAAAAGAATCGAAATAAGATGGGCAAGCCCGCCCCAATCGTGTATTTTTTTATCTGGTAATCTGAATCGTCGTATTGCTTGCTTTGCATGTCTGTCTGCCTGCATCCCTCAACTTCTGATTTTTGTGAATGTCCCTGCCTCTCCCACGCCCCTTCCGATTCGTTATTGATGTAGAAGAAAAAAGGAGTCCAAGTGCCATGGCACATTTCTTCGGGCTCATGTAAAGGAAAGTCAAAAAAAACCAATGCCTCAGCCTCATTGAGAGCTGTTAAAGTTACACCCAAAACCCGACTTCCCCAAAGTCCCCAGAACTAAAGAAATAACAATCCTCATTGACGAGGAGATGTTGCACGACCTTGTAACCCATACTCAGAATAAGGATCCCCACCCAGCACCGAACTTGGAGTTCTTTGACGAGATGCTTGACCCAGACAAGTAGAGCACACCATCTTGTTGCTGAAATGCCTCCACATCCTAGTGCAAGCCATTCGCCTTACCATTCGTCTGCAGATCCGGAATGTCCTCCGTAGCGGCCCGAGTAGCCTCGTCCACCGTATCCGCAACCAACGACTCGGCAGACTCGGCCGTCGTGCGAGTCCATTCTTCCAAACGCGCCTTGTCGATGTATTTGCGCAGGACCGAGTCCTCCCACTTCATTGCATCCAGGAGTTTGTCCCTGTAAGACTTCTCCCAGCTGGCCCAGCGGCCGTCAAGGTCCTCCACGAATGCTCCCAACGCGTCGGAAGGTCTTGTTGGCTGGAACGGCTCATCGATTCTCTCTGTTTGGTAGTTAGCGACTGGTTTCGTGCGAGCGAATCGATGATACCTACGTTTTTGGTAGCACGAAATGAAAGCACTGAAGAGCGTAGTCCTGGTCAACTTCTCTCCAACAAACGAATCGTCCTTCAATTGGGTGTCGTTAAGCTTGGTCCAGTCATCGCGGATAAAGCAGCGTCTCCAAATCAAACGCTTGGCCTCCTTCAGCTCCTCGCCCTTCAGGCCTAATGAGGCGGCCTCAAGAGCCAGATAGAAAGGATCGTCAATGTCGGCGGCTGTCTCAGCTGGTAGCTGAATAAGAGTGAGTAGGTCAATGAGGGACATGGCATCAAGAGCCTCGTGCTTAAGGAGCCTTCTCATGCTGCTCTCGAAGACCTGGATCAGTGCCTTTTGTTTCTTTGGGAGATGAAGACAGTGATTTTCCATGGCCAGTTGCAGCTCGGCGCTTTCATCTACAGCCATCTGAACAGAAGGGAAGATCTGGGCGTAGAGCTGATCTTGAATCTTGATGATACGAAGCTGATCGTCGATGATCTCAATCTTTTCGTCGGATGTTCCCTCAACCTCAACGTTGGCGTTCTTGAGGCTGAAGAGATCGGACGAGGCAGGCTTCTCAGATTCAGCTAACAAAGCTAGCTTCCCGAGACTGAGTTCGATCTTCTTGTTCCAGACCTGCTGCTCGCGGGTGATGCCAAGGTCGAAAAGAGTCTCCGCCGCATGCTCAATGTCACGCTCACGTTGGATGTCGTTGATCCACGAAATCTTGGCGAGTTCAGGTTTGTTGCGTAGGAAGTTTGTCCTGTATCCATGGTTGTCGTGACTGAAGTCCAACACGGCCTGAACACCGGCATTGTCGAGCAGAATGTCGTACGTGGGGAACGCAAAAGCCTCGCCATACTTGTCAAAGTACACACCAATTTGCTTCTCTTTCAGCTCCGCTTGCTTAGTGAGTTCGCGAGCATCGACTTGTGACCGTGATACTGTCGCCTCACTCCTGAGACTGTTGATCTGTTCAATCATAGCCAAAGCCAGTGCTCTCCAGCATCGGTGCTTCTCGGCAATGTTGATACTCTCGTCCCACTTGCCGAGGCGGAGAAGTGAGAGAACCTTGTCGTTTCGGTCCGAATCGTAGAGCTTGGAGAGATGCTCTGACCACTTCTGCGCCTTGGCGTCCTGCTGTACAGCGTTCCATCGAGATGCCTCGAGTAGCGACACGAGGTACAGGTCGCTCAAATTTGCAATCTCTGAGTTGATCTTCTCCAGGAGCGCAGGGTCCGGCTGCTTAGCCTTGTCCTTGGTCTTCTCCTTGGGAGGGTAGTATTGATCAAGCCACGTGTGACTCAGCTCAAGCAGCCGCTTCAGGTTGTTACAGATGTAATGGCATCCGGTCCAAGGTTCCGCGAGACCATCGTAGTTGTCGCGCAAGATGCCGAATTGCAGCTCTTCGTCTTCGAGGCCGTAGAAAGAGAGCTTCTTTTGCCGGTACTCTAGCGCTGTCATGAGGGCGACCAGATTGACTTGCTGAGCCTCGTACATGAGTCGAGTAATTTTGGCATCGTCCATGATGTGGTCTTTATACATGTACTTGATCACTTCGTAGGCCCAGGCGATGAAGATCTCAAGCTTACCAACGTCATGGACGAACCAATGCCTGACGCGATCGACTTCGCCTACGCTGCGGTTCGGGTTCGTCTTTTCGTCTTGGTGAATGAACTCGACAATCTCGGCAATCAGGTCCTTCTTGTCGTTGGCAGGTCGCTCGTTCGTAAAGGCCTCATGGCGCTTCCATAAAACTGTTGCCACCATCATCTTTTCGGCATGCGAAAGCAGAAGCCAACGAGTGCGACGGTCCAGCTTGACCTTTGTTGTCTTTAGGTGAGACATCAACCGATCGAGAGTCTGACAGCGGGTGCTGAGGTTGTCTTCCAGAGATGCCGGTAGAGATGAAATGTGCGATGTCGATGAGCTCATGATTTCGTGGCTGAGTTGTAGCGCAGCTTCAGAGACCTCCTCATCCGAAAATTGAACGCCCTTCCTTCCGTCGAAAATCAAGGGGGTATCTTGCTTGTTCCCAAAAAAGACGGCTTGCTCAAGCTTGCTCTTTGGCGTGACCTTGGGCGGCTGGTCACTACCAAATCTGTCTATGTCTGTTGTTGTTAGTCGCACGATACCGGTACCGCGGACCATCAGAACGACTGCTGGGTTCTTCGTCTTTTGACGGCTCCTCGACTCTTCATGGCCAGCATTCGCCGTCTGAGGCTCTTCAAAACCAGATCCCAAGATCTCTGACTGATTGTTATCCGAAAGAGTGATGACATCCTCGTAAGTGGGAGGAATTATGTGGTTATCCTCTTGGAGCTGGGCGTCTGGTGATTCCGGAGGGTTGCCGATAGATGCCACAACTACAGCCTTGTCGAAAACGACAAAAGCTACAAGGGCCGGTCGAGGGAGATGTAAGCGAGGCCTGGTGGACTGCACAGGGTTCGCAGGATTGAAGCGCGCTTTGTATGAGGAAATCGGACGAACCATGCCGACTTGCGCGGAGGCTGGGGAAAGGATGACCTCAACCAAAGAGTAATGCGACTCCTTCTTCTTGGTGAAGCTGGCGAGAAGTAAGAGATGCTGTAGGTTCTTGTCTTCCGAAGCCATGGCGTTGCTGAGTCTGCTCATGTCCCGATACTTGGCTTCCAAGCCCTTGGGAACGAAAGCAAAGTCGACAACCTCGAACGTCTCCGGCTGGAAGTCGGTAGCTGAGGGGTCAACATCGCGAATCGCCTGGATAATCTCTTCTTGCATGTCTGCTTCCACAATCGTGTCATGGTGTCCACCGCGGTGTACATTCCAAGCGTGGAGTCTGCCCTTCAACGTAGCCGCGACGACGTTACGTTCGCCGACTCGAGAGGTGCGCTCTGCCCGTACGGCAGCGATATCCCCGCGCCCTGCCGTCTGCGTCAAGGCGTGACGAATGCTGCCGAAAATTCCACCAGCTGTAGATCCCAGGTTTGTTCGAAGGAATTGGACCGAAATCGTGGGTCTGCCGTGGCTGTCTCGGACACTCATGTAGGCTAGTCGGCCACTGCTAAAGGCCAGAACAAATCCGGCGGACTCGGCGTTTGTGATTTGTATGACTTTCTCGCCAGAAAACATGCCTGATATCGATCCTTCCACGCCATTTCGCTGTTTCTTCATGAAATCCAAGGTCGCGGCGCTCGTGATGGATTCCCAATACGCGATCTTACCGCTAATGGGCATAACAACAACCAGGCCGGGCTCCGTCGATGAGGCCGATGGAGAGACGAGACATCCCAATGGCAGAGGTTCCGATGTGTGTTTTGAAGGATACGGGAGGGTGAAAGTGAATGTCTCGGGGGATTGGGAGGGATCCGTATAAGGCCAAACAATCGCATGAGTATGGCTAAGGCTAAGGGCGTAGCGGTTCGAGAAAATATCGGCCTGTTGCTGGGCTTCACTTGATCGTTAGACGCGAAAAGAGCGAATCTGCGAACGTTACGTACCTGATGCATCTGCGCGTAGGCGATCTGGCAGTGCTGGCAATTTGCTCACGGTGTATGCGTTGTTCGTCGTCTGTTGGGGGTCTTGTTAGCTAACCAGGGGGGAATCGATGCAACCGTGTATTTGCGTACCAAAACAACACTTCCATCGCCCTTGGTTGGTCTGTCGCCTCCCTTGGGCTTCTTTGCGCGCACGCTGAGCTCTTTTCTCGGGGTAGGTGTGATGGGATTCTGGTTTTCGATGCCGTCCTGGCGTGTGTCGAGCGTCGCAACTTTGTCAGACTTGACTTCGTACATCTCGGGGCCTGTGGGCGCGGACACATCTGGATTGACGAAGGTCTGCTCGGTAAGAGGCAGACGTTGGCGCTTAGCTTTGGGTTGCTGGGCGAGGCTTTCGTTACTAGCCGGTCGCTGCCTTCTTCTGCTTCGCGTCGCGGTGGCGGGACCGCCCTCGTTCGTGGAGGGAGAAAACATGGTGATGTTGTCGAGCGACCGAGCGCGAGATGGTTGATGGGGGTTTGTGGTCGTCGCGGTCGCCGTAATGGTGAAGATGTTCGTGTGGATGGGCCGGTGTCAATCAGAAAAACATTTCGAGGATGGATGGATTCTGTGGCCTAAGGTATTCTCAATTTGTGAGGGAAAGCGGAGGTCGGAAACGGTGGACGCAAGTGGCAGAGCGGATTTAGCAAATATGTGAGAGTGACGAAGCATCAATCGATTGGGTCTCGCAAAAAAAACACAAGGTTGCTGCATCTGCCAAGCACGGTCCAGCAGCGCCAGAAGCTCCTGTCTGACCACTAGCAGAGTCGTGTCAGGCTCCACGACCCCGGTGAGCAGCAGGTCAGGGCAGGTGTGCAGGTGTGCCGGCGTGCCAGCTGAGGCGGCGGAAGGGGCAACCACAGCACGGGTGTACCTAAGGTCCCACCCACCCTGCCTTAAGGTACCTCAACTTTTCAAGGTACCTATCTACTCTGTTCCTACGCGACCTAGAAGATTAGGTAAGGAAAGAAGAGGCCCTGTGCCTGTGTGCCTGCCTCGTGTCAGGCCCAGTACAGAGATACGTATCTTATCCTTCCATTGGGCAGGCAAGCACCAAGGCAGGTTCGTTGCTTCCAGCACCTCAGACTGGGAGAGGCTCCCCATTGGCCGACTCCGCGATCGATTTGAGGTCCGCTGAATCGACGCATTGGATCAAATTAGGACCCTGAAAGTGGAGCCTGGGAAACCAACTAAGTCAACAACGTCACTCGGCCCTCGGGAAGGGTCGGCGGACACATTGATAGAAACAATTCTGGTGTGTTTAGACAGAGTAAATTGCCCACTAACAATTGACTTGACCTTTACTGAGTCGTTGATAGCTGTGGCTTGCACTTGTTTGCTTCCGTATCCTCGGCACATGCCTCATTCTTCAAGGCGACGTACTTCCAACTCACGCCCAGCAAGCTGCTAGACGAACTAAGTCGACCCCACCATTCGCTTCTATTCACTCATGTTCCGCAACTCGTAGCATTCTTGACCCGGAACCATCTCCCGAGACATATTCAACTACATTGATTGGCCGCGGGACCTCGTGAGTTTGCATAGCCAATAGCCTCTCTTGTTCACGAAACTCTCGACTCTTGTTCTGTCCGTACCTTACCTACCTATTCTTTCAACCCTGAATCAAGTCTCATCCAAGACATTCAGCGTCTAGAGACTCATCATCGAGTAGACCAGACACGAATTCTTCAGCATAGCGGCTCAGGCCCCCTTAGAGTTCTATACCGTAGCTGGCCTCAAAGTGGAACTACACGACTACCACCGGTCCGGTTCGTGCCCTTGGGCGAGGTTCACGAGTGAGCCCGTCTCGAGAGTGAGACTGAAATCTGGGCATAAGCTTGTCTCAGTTGCACCACGGGTCGTCAAGACATACATCTCCAACAGGAGTGTGTAAAAGAGCGAAGGCCGGGCCGATCGCCTTGCTCAGGACATTCAAATTTGACGGCAATCTCATACTACATGTCCCTGGACGAGCAACTGCAACCATGATCTCTCACGCGATGAGGATGCCAAAGGCATGGAAGATGGCCTCCACTATGCGGCGGTACTCGACCGCCATGGCCATCACCGACCCCCTCGTCAAATACAGGACGCTGGTCTCAACCAAAGTCCTATCACCCGACCAAGATCAACACAGACTCGCAATCCACCTCCAAAAGCTCTACGGCCGCCTCAAAGACTACGCCCCGGAAGTCGACTATCGCGAGCGTCTCAAACAAGTAGCCGATATCCCAGAAGCCCGCGATCCAGAAGAAGCCGCCGCGACGCTGGCGATGCCGAGCCACCCCATCTGGGACAATCCTCTCTTCAAACACCTTGCCCGCAAGGCCATGCCGGATCCAAGGGTCTCGAACCCCATGGCCCTAGTCCACGTCATGACCAGCCTAGAGGGCGCCATCACCATCAACTCTCCTAGAGGTCTCTTCCTCTCCGGCGAGGTCGGCGTGGGAAAGTCAATGTTGATCGACCTCCTAGCACAGGGCCTGCCAACAGAGAGGAAGCGGCGGTGGCACTTCAACACCTTTATGCTCTACACCTTTTCGCAGCTAGAAAAGTTCCGCCAGTCTCACACCGAGCTGGACGGGAACGAAAAGGAGTACGCCATGTTATGGCTGGCCAAGAAACTCGTAGAAGAGTCTCCCATCCTGTTCCTCGACGAGTTCCAGCTGCCTGACCGCGCCGCAAGCAAGATTCTCAGCCACTTATTCATCGCCTTCTTCCATCTCGGCGGCGTACTCATCGCGTCGTCCAATCGCGTGCCCGAGGAGCTGCAAAAGGCCATTGGCATTGAGTACACTGTCCCTCTCTCTGATGGGTTCCTTAAGAGTCTTTTCCTCGGCGGAGCTCGCTCACGGGGAACTCGCCATAGCCAGAACGACTTTGCTGCCTTTCTCGAGGTACTAAAGGCTCGTTGTGACTTCTGGCACATGGACGGAGCCACTGACTGGAGACGTCGGGAAACAGAAGTGAAGGCCGTTGTAGATACCATAACCATTGAGGGAACGGGGCTTGTGGAGGAACCAACAGGTGTTCAAGAGGGTAAGTCATCCTTCGCCGACTCAATTACACGAAGCTGACGTGTCCTAGAAACATCCAAAGAAACATCAAAACCAGCAAAATACTTCTTAACCCCCGAGACCTCAGAATGGTCATCAGAGCTAGCAGACCTCCTCTCCCAACCCTGGACCCCAGCAACCCTCACAGTCTACGGCCGCACCATCCCCGTCCCGCGCCAACGAGACGGCGTAGCCTACTGGGACTTTGACGCTCTTGTCGCGACCTTTGGTCCGGCAGACTACGTGACCATGGCGTCAACCTACCACACCTTCATCATCGACCACGTCCCCACCATGACGACGCTTCACAAGAACGAGGCCAGACGCTTCATCACCCTCCTCGACGCCCTATACGAAGCCCGCTGCAAGCTCTTCGTCCGCGCCCAGACCGGGCCCGACGACCTCTTCTTCCCCGACATACGCGCCGCGCAAGCCGAGATGGCCGCCGCCGCAGAGGCAGCAGCGGCAGTAGCAGCGGCAGCATCCGGAGACGAAGTCGTCTCCTCGGACGCAATCTACTCCGAGACCATCGCCGAAGTCTACCAAGACTCCGCGGCCCCCTTCCGCCCCAACATCTCCTACTACGACACCGACGCCCCGACATCAAAATACGACCCGGACCAGGACTCGGACTTTGGCCGCGCCGGCAACGTGAGCAGCAGCAACACGACGAGTCCGAATTTCAGCAACACGGCCGGCTTCATCGGCGAAGACGAGCGCTTCGCGTACCGCCGTGCCGCGAGTCGGCTGTGGGAGCTCTGCAGCGCCGCGTGGCACGCCAGGGGCGACAGTCCGGCCGAGTGGTGGACGCCTGTCCCGCGTACGGCGCGGCACTGGGAGGATTAGGCGCCGTCGAGGCCGAAGCGGGATGAGCCGCTGCTGTCGCGGAAGCAGAGCGATGCCGTCATGGGTCCGTCGAGGCCTGTTGACGAGCCGTTTGGGACGGATAAGCTTGTTATAGAGAGGTGGCGGGCTTTGGAGGAGGCTGAGCGTCGGCGGGAAGAGTCCTCGTCGTCGTCTTCGTCTTAAGGATAGCGGACGTCTCTAGAGTTTGATTTTGGTTTGCCTGTTTGGATATATGGAGCGGAGGGGACTTGGAGTACTGGGAGCAGACGGGAGCAAGTTCCGTTGATGGTTTTACTCCACTCTCCTACCTCCCTCCATATTTCCCCTCGTCTTTTTGGTTTTGAGATTCATCTGATTCATCGCATTTGAGAGAATCATCTCACGGAGCATAGCATAGCATTTTGGCGGTGCTGGATTTAGCACACGTCGCCTAGACGACGTCAAGACCTTTGAGTCTTCATGATAGAGAAAGATATCTTACAGCACCAGTATCATCTGGTCATCAAATTAGAAGAAAGAAAAAAAGCCCACGCATCACACCTCGAAACCCATACGTCTATCCTCTATGATCAACGCCCCAAACTCCCATGAAAGAACAGAAAGGCTATGGATCAACCATCATCCCGTTTTGCAACTTCAATTGCCAATTGCCAAAGCACGGCACCTCAAAGAGTCGTAACACCAGGCGTCCACCCCTCCCCGACCCTCCTCACCTCCCCCTCAAACTTGCGACTCTTAATCACCCTCCCGCCACGCCCGCTCACAGGCGAATGTTCATCAGGCTCATAAAACGGATTCTGCAACAACCTCACATACGCGTTCTGCACAGCCCGAAACACGACCCGCAACTCCTGCTCCCTCAACCCAACCGCGCCGCGGCCCTTGCCAGCGCCAGCAGCAGCAGCACTTTCCGCTCCCGGCGTCCCGCCACCACCGCCGACCCTCCGCCCGCGCATATCAACCACAACCACAATCTTGACGCCCGTGTTGGTCTCCCACCCGTACGCGGCCAGCCGTTCGTCAACGGCGTGGAGGAGACCTACTTCGCCGGACAGACCTGTCCCCGTTGACCCTGGTGCCGCGGCAGCACCGCCGCCTGTGGAGTTGTTGTTGTTGCCGTGACGGAGCTCAAAGATGTCTAGGGTCGAGGAGAGGAGGAGGGAGAATTGGAGGGGCGTGCGGATCGGCGCAAAGGTGTTTGTCGAGGGGTTGTGGGAGGGGAAGATTTGGATGTGGAGGGGGTTGTTCTGGATGTTTCGTTGCGTTAGCTTTGGGTCTTTTCTGTCTGCTAGTAGGGTACTGAGATCATGCCGTCTAATCGTGGGGGTGATGGGAAAAGGAGTATTCGAGTAGCAAGGCGCAGACCAAGGTTCGTGGTGGTCTGCGCCAGGGGGGGGAACGGGGACGGGAAGAGGAGGAGAAGGTACGTACGTTGCGGCCGATGATGCCTATGCATGCTATGGAAGGGATCGCGGTCGCCATTCTGCGCGCCTGAGTTGTGCTTCCTTTCGTCCACCCTTGGTTGCAGTTGCGATTGTCGTCTTTTGGTGAGGATCCGCGTCGAGGCGTAGGATGCGATCGTGTCGTCGGCCAAAAGTTCCGTTTGGTGATGTGGTTGGAGAACGGAGAGCTGGGGTAAGGAACGGATAATGGTCCTGGAAACAGCTGGTGTGGCCGGGAGCTTAATTACTTTTTTGGGGGGCCCTCCTGCTGCCCCGCATTGGCATCAGCAACATAGAAGCTCGCCATAGCTCCATGTTTTCGACATATTAACTCAGACAAACGACGGTTTACAAAATATGAAAGCAATGAAAATGATTCTCCAAACTGCATCCAGAACTGCATAGAATGATTCATATGATGTTTCCCCTTTGTAGAGAAGTAGTATTACACCCAAACTAAACTGAACCATTACTCCAGTCTTCATAACGAAGGCGTAGAAGCCCGACCTTCTTCTCACGAGCGAACACGCCCACTGAGAAAAGTTGAAAAAAGCGCCCTTGATAGCCCCCCGTTTCCCAAATTTTGCGCACCAAGGAACAGAACAGACGACCATCGTCGTAGACCATAGGCCCTCCCTCACTCAATCTCCTCACCCGACAACCCTTCCGTCTCCTCCAAACCCCTCAACATCTCCTCAATCTCACTAGGGTCTGTGATCGCCCACACGCCGCCGCCCTTGACCGAGTCCTTGCCCCTCATACCAACCTCTTTACCAACAAGATTCCGCCCAACTTTCCCCGGCCCGATACCGACCCAGCGCCGCACCTTCTCCTCCTGGTCGAGGTACTTGATGCTGTCCCACCACCTTACCGTCTCCAGACACTGCCGCGCCAGCAGATCCTTGACGTCCTCTCTGCTCTCAAAGGGCCGCGCGCTCACGTTGCTGATGCACGGCAATCGCCCGGGGAACGTAATAATATCCTCCGCCTCACGGCCCTTGACGCGGCTCTTCCTCGACAAGATCTTCTGCATCACCCCGACGGCGGGCTTCATCAGCGGGCTGTGAAACGGGCTATCGCTATTCAACCGCACCGCGCGCGGGTCGTGGCCCAGAAATTGCCTAACATGCGTCGAAAGCGTCTTGATCCGCTCGATATTCCCGCTCAGCACAATCTGGTTCTTGCTATTCACGTTGGCGATGAGCACCTGCTCGATAGGCGGCACGTCCTCGGAGCTCTCCCCCTTTGACCCGGCGCTCGAGTGGCCCACAAAGTCGTGTATCGCCGCGATCAGCGGACCCAGGTACTCGGGCTCCGTAACGATGGCCACCATGCCGTACTCCCCGCCGTACGTCTCCACGGCCCGCCGCGTCGCCTCCGCCATGGCCTCGGCCCGCTTCCGGACGAGGTACAGGCTGTCCTCGAACTCGAGGTAGCCGCCCGCCACGAGGGCGGCGAACTCGCCCAGAGAGTGACCGAGCGTCACGTCAACGCGGCGCGCGACGTCAAAGTCGAACTCGCGCTCGAGAATGCGCAGAATCAGGATCGAGGTCGCCATGATGGCCGGCTGGGCGTTGGGGGTCTTGGTCAGCAGTTTGCTGGGCCCTTCGGCGATGACGTCGGAGAGCTTGAAGCCCATGTAGTGGTCGATTTCCTCAATGATGGGTTTCGCAGTTCGGGGGAAGGCTTCGAGCCATGGTGTGATCATGCCGACTTTTTGTACTCCTTGGCCTGTGGTGGTCACACATACTTGTCAGTCCCCTTGAAATGCCCCTCTCATTGCCTTTTGATTCCACCCTCCAAACACATGGATGCTCCATCATAACACACGCACCTGGAAAGAAGAGCGCCGTCCGTGGTCTTTCCCCCTGTGACGAAGACACATGCCGTCTACTCGACCCGAACGCTACATTGCCCGTCGCGGCGCGCCTGCGGCCGAGGCAGCCGAGCCCATCGGCCCATACGGCGGCGGCGCCTCGGCGGAGAAAGTGGTGAGCTCCGGGAGCTGCAGTCATGGCCCGTTGGAACAATAAGACAAGAGCGCCAGCCAATTGTGAGCTGGGGCAGCTTAGATAGTCGCAATCATGGAGTAGCGGTTAGTCACTCTTGGGGTGTATGTAGGTGTGTGTTTGCTTCGAGGCAGAACAGACCAGCGTGACAAAGACTCAACGCCACAGGAGACCTTCTAGAAACAAGTATGGAAGAGAATTAAGACTAGAGGTGTCAACGAGGAGGTCCGCGTGTTATGCGACCGAGTTGGAAGGAAAATGTGTCACACGCAGCACAGCCTACGCGCGGCGGCCGTGTAGTGGTCTTGGTCTTTGGGGTTTGGGGGGGCAAGGAGAGCAGAGACAGGAACGTGGTGAGCAATCGGCCCATGGAGCCATGACGCCAGGTATGAATGGCGGTTGGTCCTTGTGGCCGCCACTAACCGAATGTCCCGAGGCCGAGGATTGGGAGGGAGGTGAGCTGGAGACCCAAGAAACACTGGAGTAAAGGTACCTACCCCGCGATTGGCAACAGCCTGGGCAGCTCTTCTTACAGGCGCGTTTCTAGTTCCGCTGCGCCGGGAGCGGGGCTCTGGGGGTGCTCTTGCTGGATCTCCTTCAGGGGCCAGGGGTCAATTGCCGCCGACCTACGGGAGAGTCGCCGATGCTGCACTGCGATCTCACGTTGAAGATTGAGTAAACGCCTCAGCGTAAGCGTCACATTGGATAAGGCGACGTTTTTCTGTGTGTCGAAAACCCCGTCTTCTTGGGTCGGGTGGCTGTTTCCTGACACGCTCCTGGCTTGCTTTGATGGGCGCCGCCTGGTAATCTCAGACCGCAACGAATTGGCATCACTAGTCTGCCACTAGGCTGAGTAAAAACCGAGGCCCTCCAAAGCATGTGAACTTGTTTCCCAGGGAGCAATGTCCAAGAAAAAATTTAGCTAAAACAATTCTCATTAGTTTATGTTGCTATCATGTTTCGCGTTTCCGTCTAACACCGCGTCTCTACACCGCCCTTGCTGACCGTCAAATACTTGACGCCTTTATACGGCTTCACGTTCTCCCCGAGACCTTTGCTCTTGCGCGGGTCAATCATGATGCTCTCCACCTTGAGCCCGCTCGGCAGCCACCCCTTGACCGAGAAGCTCACCGACGCCGAGCTCGGCATCAGCATCTTATTCTGCGCCACCTTCTTCGCGTCCTTTTCGTTCTCCTCTCCACCGCCGTCGGCCATCTTCTTCGTCCGGGTGGGACTGCTGCTGCTCTGGTACGGCTGCTCATCGTAGCCGTACGCCTTGCCGAACCCGAACCCGTTGGGGTCGAGCTCGTCCTCGTCCTCGTCCGGCAGCTGGCCCACCACGGTGCACCTGAGACCAAAGTAGGACGTGCCGGAGGATATCTCCTTGGTGGGGACGTGCCACTCGAGGACCCTTTCGCTGGGGTTGAAGGTCGCATCTCCCTTGCTGGGCCGCAACTCGGAGAGATTCCTAACCTCTGCTGGCAACGGCACCGTGACGATCAGGTCCTCCATCAGAGGCGATGAGGGAGTCCCGGGATGGGAGCCCCCGAAGCCTCGACCTGCTCCCCCACCGCCACCACCACCTCTGCCGTACTGACTTGCTGATGAGGGGCCACCGGCTCCAAGCACCTTATTGACGTGCAACCGCACCTCAAAGTCGGAGCCCGTAAGACCCAAGCCCGTCTTCATCTCAATGTTGACAGGGAGCTTGAGGTTATTCGCACTCAAGCTACCGCTCTTGCCGTTCGTGAATGGTAGCAAGTCGACTTCGTAGCTGGCCAGGATGAATCGGCCGTCTGGCGGTACAAAGCTGAGCTCACCAGGTCGTTCTTTCCACCGTGACAGACGGACGCATGGGTGAAATACTGGGAGGTCCATGAAGCCGGCCAAGTTGTGTTTTCCAGAGGGGCTCGTTAATGTCATGACAATGTCGGGCATGCCAGACACCTTGCACGTGAAGGCTATCGTTCCGTTTGCAAATGCTGCCAGTGGCCGCCCTGAGGGAGCGAGAGTGACGGTCAAGGTCTCGACGATGTCCGCGTACATTTCGTTGGACGTATGCCGTACATTAGCCCTGCGCCAGGGTAATGCTGGGGTATTCTGGGCGATTAGGGACGGTGTACTCGGGCTGGCGAAGCCCGTGCCAAAGTTTCCAGGTTTCCTGCGTGATTTTCGTCAGACCAATCTTTCTCGTCAAAATCTTTTTCCTTGTGGTCTCCCTTACCCCGGCAAAGTGATGCTGCCAAGCAACTTGCCCACCCATCCCTCAACCTCGACCAAATCCCTCAGCGCGTTCGGTTCCGTCGTGTTGATCGTCCCCGCGTCACACATCTCGTTGAGAAGCTGCGCGACGACATCATAGCTGCTCTCAATCTTATGCGCCAACAGGGGCGCGCCGAGGAACTCCTCAAAGACGTCGACGATGCGGTGGATGAACTCGAGGACGAGCAAGGGTTCGATCTCGGAGGACGAGGTGGCCAGGAACAGTAGGTTGGCGTGCTTGAGGCTGAAGACGAGCGTCGGCGGGTTCGTGTTGGCGAGGTAGACGAGGTTCGGACGCGGGGCCGGGTGCTCTAGGTAGAGGGGCAGGAGGTGCTGCGCCGACAGCGGGCGGGAGGTGTACGTGTGCGACAGGATGGCATGGCTGCGTGTGGTGAGTTGTTGTTAGCTGTAACGAGTATGATTGATGGTGATACTTGATCTGATCTGGTAGGTAGACTGACTTGTGCTCATCGTAGATATGCAGCGCCTCAATAACGCCGTTCATCGTTCAGGTCGGCATCGGAGGGCTGCGCCGTGGTCGTCGGAAGTGGTGGGGTGGGAGGTTGCTTGCTTGCTGTCAGTGTGTCTGTCTGTCGCTGGAGCTCCCACGGCCCAGGAACCACACAATCCGGCCCCGCGCGTACCTTGGCGGCGCCGCACATGCTTGATGATGGAATTAAATGTTAGTGCAAGGGAACGGCTCGGCCCAGCCAATCACGAGTGCGCTGTACCCTGTCGCTGCACCAAGCTTCCTGGGCCTCTACGGCCTACCTCTCCCATTGTCAGGAGCTCGTTGGTCGCAAAAAAGCATCCGATAGCCAAACTTGTTGAAGACCGTCAGAACCAGCCGTAAGCTACCTTATACAAATTCGCCGCCATGGTCGGAGGAGGAGATAAGATGCCCACCGTTGGCACCCTCGACAAGCCCGAAAGCCTCGACCAGCTCCTGCGCGAGGACCGCGGCGATGATTGCACATCGTGCAAAGTCATTGGTAAGCCACCACCACTTCTCCTCCAAGACTCTCAGCAGGCCCGGCACCCGTAGGAGAGCCCATTTCTGATGCTAATCTTTTCAACGAAATAGGAGGCGGCGCATTCCTCGGCCTCGCGGCATACAACTACCTCTCCGGCATGGGCCACCTCGAAAGGCAGCGCGCCGTGATACTCAAGTCGGGATCCATGTTCGGCATGGGAAGTCGCAAGCTCGGCGTCGCTAGCATCTCGATGGGCCTGGCCTACCTTGGCCTCTGGAGGTTGTTCAAATAAACGAACGACGAACGAAGGGATGAAATGGAATTGGGACAATAAGCAGAATCGCAACTCAAAATAATTACGCCATGCGCGTCTGGGGGATAGATCCTCACGGATGTTAGAGAGCCCACGCTACCCGGGGGCAGGAGTTTGGCACCACTCCGCCGACGTCCTCACACGAGCGTATCTCGGGCGCCTATGATAGGCTATAGCGGCGGAAGCTCGTGAGAGGAGGCTCTGGTCAATACCTTAGCCGTGCTAGCCTAACGACCGGCACGACACTGCTCGCTTGGGTCGGACTGATGATCTTTCGGCATGGTGCAGCTAGAGGTATTCTAGCAGCTACTGGCTGCAAACATTGTTGTAACACTGTACAATACTGTCATGTAATAAAAAGCGACGATTGATGAATCAAATATGATGGCCACTATAAAGCTAGCACTATCAAACTTACCAGTTATCAGTGGCGCTTGTGGTTGTAGCGGTGCTGTCAAAAAATCCGAGGTGCAGCAGGCAAGCATTGTCCGCCGATTGCACGCTCCAATCTGCCCCTCCAAAGCTTCACCAAAAATTCTTTTGCAAGCATCAATCTCAACCACGACCATATCCACCAAACAGCAGCCACCACAATCACAAGCAATTAATGCAACAAACCCTCCCAACCCATACTTCCGAATACGCTGAATATACGACACCGAAAAAATTCGACTGTTTCCCAAACGCACCTACGGCATTCCGCCGTAAACCACAAATCACCATGCCCATCACAATTCTCGCCCCGCGCGGCACGCCGTCACATCACAAGCCCTACGCCGCCGCAGGAACAGCAGACTCGGACTCAGACTCAGAAGGCGGCGCGGATATCGAGGGCGACATCTCCATGCGCCCCGCGAAACGCTCCCGCGGCGACACCTACGAGATCGTCACCCCGGGTGAGATCATCACCGACGACCCCCAGTGGATGAGGTTTGTCGCCCCCATTCTGTATTACAGGAACCTGTTGAAATAAAGGGAGAAAACAAAGAGAGAGAGAGAGAGAGAGAATGAGAACCCCCCAGACTGACACAACCCCAAAACAGAGGCCACGGAACCTACATCACCCAAAACACAACAGACATAGTCTCCTCCGTAGCAGGCACCGTAACCCGCACAAACAAACTCCTCTCCGTCCGGCCCCTCCGCGCCCGCTACACCCCCGAAATAGGCGACCTCGTCATCGGCCGCATCGTCGAAGTCCAAGCCAAACGCTGGCGTGTCGACGTCGGCTCCTCCCAGCTCGCCATCCTCCAAATCTCGGCCATCAACCTCCCCGGCGGCATCCTCCGCAAGCGCACCGACACGGACGAGCTCCAGATCCGTTCCTTTTTTGCCGAAGGCGACCTCGTCGTCGCAGAGGTCCAGCAGCTCCACCAGGACGGCGCCGCTTCGCTGCACACCCGCTCCCTCAAGTACGGCAAGCTGCGCAACGGCGTGTTCGTGGCCGTCACGGGTACCGGCGGCGGCGGCGGTGTGGTGAGGGCCAAGAGGCAGCAGTGGGTCATGGACGCGGCGCGGGGCGCGGCAAAAGTTCACGTCACGTTGGGCGTCAACGGCTTCATCTGGATTAGCAAGCACGTCGAGAGCGACGGAGCCGGCGCCGAGAGCGTGGGGCTGAATCGTATGGAGGAGAGCGTCAGCGCGAATGTCTACTCGAGCCAGAACGACAAGATTGACGACGAGACGATGCGCGAGGTTGCGCGGATACGGAGCGTCATCCTTGCGCTGGTGGAGAACGGGCTGCGCGTGGACGAGGACATGGTCGTTAGGGGATACAAGGTGGCTGTCGATATGGGCCTGGAGAGCATCGAGGACGATATTTACCTCGGAGGCGAGCGAGGGAAGAGGCTCGCTGAGGCTCTGCTCAGAGAATAGACAGACATAGATGTTGGTTCCACGTCACAAAACAGAGGATGGCAAAGTCAGGTGGAATAAATATCTTGAAGAAAAAAAGTACTCTAATAGATACCAAGAAGGGGGCTTCGTATAATCCGTCAAAGAGACCCTGGATCGCCAGACATCAGAAACGCTATGCAGTGTATATCTATAGGCCGTATTGTTCAGCCATGGTATCAAAAAAAAATCATGTGTCCAAAAGCATCGTAGACAACGTCTACTAAAAGGTCTCGACCAGCTCTGCGCCGGCAAAGTATCCCTTGTTCTCAATGACACCCCGATCTTTGACAAAGGCAGTGTACTTGACTACCCACTCAGGTGTGAGGTCGCCTTCCAGACCGTCCTGATCCTCGGCAGGGTCGGCGAGGACGCCAGCGCCCTGTAGCCCGTGGCCGAGGAGTTCACGGAGGGTGCCTCTGGGCAGGATGTCGGTGCAGTCGGTGTGAACGAGCAATTCGACACCCTCCGTCTTGGCCAGCTTGACCAGCGTGGGGGGGACGCTGCAGCAATCCTTGATATTAATCTGGTCGACGGCCGGCCGGACGCTGACCTTTTTGATAAACTTAGCCAGCTTCTCAGTGCCGAACTCGGAGATGCCGAGAGCCTTGACCTCCCCGCGCTTGTACAGATCTTCAAGGAGCGTCCACGTCGCGGCCTCCTCGTCAATGTTGCCCTGGGATGCGTTGCGCTTGTCGGCTTCCCACTCGCAGTCGCCCTCAAATGACATGCCCGGGAAGGACGCGATAAGAAGATCAATTGTCGTGACCCCCAGCTCCTTTCGCACGAGGCTCAAGGCATCCTGCACGTACTGAGCCCGGTCTTGTGGAAGGGCATTGGGGAGGAAAAACAGCTTCACGGTAACGTCGTAGTTGTCGGGCTCTTCTTGCAGTCCGGAGTAGGACCAGTCTATCCGCGGAATGTAGAGCGCATCGTCCTCGCGGGCAGTCCAAATGTCGATGCGAGGCCGGCGGCCGTTTGAGTTGTGAGAGAAGCCATTGGAGTGGCCGTTTAAGCCGTTTAAGCCGTTTCCATTCACGTGTTCGTCGTCGTCGTCGTCATCGATGGGCGAGGACTCTTCGTAAGGCGAGTAGTCCTGCTGGGCGGCGAGGAAGTTGCTTCGCAGCGAGTTGGTGAGTTCAAGGTTCGATCTGTAGGCACCCGGTTTACGGATTATGGAGGGGCCGCCCGAGACAATGTTTCTGCATGCAGCGGAGGATCGCCAATCAGCATCATGGCGCAAATAACGATTCTATTGTGGGAAATGTTGAGAGGTGTGACAAACCCAGTGGAGAGAATGAGTTTCGTCATGGCGACGGTGATGATGGTTATAGAAAACTAGAATATTGCAATTTTGTAGCTGAAGATCGGATGCAATGAGCTGGTAGTCGAGGAAAGATTGCGACGTCAAGGGTCCTGATTGCGCAATGTAAAGGTGATGGCTTCCAGGTCTTCTTCAGCAACTTTTTTTTCGTGCCTGTCGATTTTTAGACTTTGGAGGGGTGATTAACAATCGGAATCTGCGTAAACTAGGTCGAGGGGCCGATAAGGAAAGGTACGGTCCGCTCGGGTTCAAAGGTGAGACGGGGTAATTATTAATCGCTGGCGCACGGCAGGCGGATGTCGGCTTGTGTGTCGAGACCCCCAAAATCGGAGATAAAGGGCTTATAAGACAGAGTGGTCTGTATCTGCAGTTGTGGTACGAGGGGAAGTCGTGATATGCAGCGTATGCAACGACAGGCGGTAGTAGGCGGCCAGGGAGGGGTTCTAGAAGGACGCGCGAGACACTTCTGGGATGGGGCGGTCGGGTGGATGTGGATGGGCGATGGTGTTTGTTTTGGAGGTATCCGCGGAATTGTGATTCTGGATCCCATGGAATAAACAGACGGTGCAGGAGAAAGGTTGCGGGAGACGTGTGGAGGACCGGAATGGCCCTTATTTGAATAACGAATCGGAGATGAAAGAGAAATTTCCATCCAAGTCCGTCTCGGTGTGCCGACTGAATCGAGTCGTTCGAGTAGTCATGTATCCAGGTATCCAAGTATCCGCAGAAATCATTCATCTTTCCATTCTGCGGCAACGGCGTTTCTTGCCTCGCAGCTTCCATCCGGGCACCGACCACATCCCGCCATCCACCCCTCCTCCCGCCGCAAATTCGGCAGGAGCGCAACTCCGAGGAGCAGGTCAATGGCACTTGGTGGGGGTTTTGGCCTTCGCGTCAGCAATTTGTCTGCACCTTCCGCAGGACCGCAGCATGGGCGGCCTATGAGACGCCGTTGTCGGCATGAATCGCTCATCCAATGTCTCGTTTCCCATTCAATCCCATCACCATACCATCACCTGCATTCAAAGGCTTCGATCTCGAGTCGCACAAAGCCAGTAACAGTGAAAGAGCGGGCTTTGTTCCGTATGTCAGGTGGCGTACACGTACCTATGGACAATTGTCTGCTAAAGGTTCCTTGGCCAATCCGGACGAGACATTGGGATAAAGTAAGGTATCGAGCCTAGGTACCTAGTTGACGGAGCTTTTACAGCGGTCCTTCCACCGTAAAGTTTGGCTCACGGCGCTTGGAGACTGGATTATATAAGCGGATAGCTCCCTAGATCCTTTGCACCGGGGCATCACCTCAAGCTTTCCAAGCCCGCCGTCACCAGGTGTCTCCCGCCAGGTACCTTACCTTATCTACCTTACCTAGTGCCTTATCCTGGTGGGCATTGATTGCCTGAGGATACCGCAGCCTCAAGCTCAAGGTACACCGTACGCCTGCCACCAAACTCGACACCTTGCGCCTGTCAGCCTGACGTGACCAAGGGGTATCGTCACACGCAACAGATCGCATTTCGTCGCCAACCGAAATCCAGTCCTCGGTCTGGTTTGGCCGACCACCACAGCAGCGAACACTTTCCACGACGTCAACTTAAGATCCACAACACTCCTGTCAATCGACTCTCCATCTCATTCCCTGTCCACCTTGTGGTGGTGATGTGAAGGCATCATCATGGCTATCCAGTATGTTGTACCCCTCGGCCGTATCTGATAATGCATCAAGGCGAGGCGACTAATTCAATCTAGATACCTCATCCTCCTTTCACGCCAGGGTAAAGTGGTATGCACCCATCGCTGCCCAAATTTCCCCCGAGCAACCCTTTACTGATCACGGTCCCTCTGCAGCGCCTTGCAAAATGGTTCACCACCCTGTCGCCCAAAGAAAAGGCCAAGATCGTCAAGGACGTTTCCCAGCTGGTCCTCGCCCGTAGAACACGCATGTGCAACTTCCTCGAATACAAGGGTCAGTCGCCTTCGAAACCCAGCCGCTTGGCCCATCAACACTCACTGACTACTTGCCGCCAGATTCCAAGATCGTTTACCGCAGATATGCGTCGCTATTCTTTATCGCAGGAGCGGCTTCAGAGGACAACGAACTGATTACACTCGAGATCATCCACCGCTACGTCGAGCAGATGGACAAGTACTACGGCAACGTCTGCGAGCTAGATATCATCTTCTCTTTCACGAAAGCCTACTACATATTGGACGAGCTATTATTAGCGGGAGAACTGCAAGAAAGCAGTAAAAAGAACGTGCTGCGGTGTATATCTCAGCAGGATTCGCTCGAGGACATGGAGGTACGTTCAGTTGATGCTTTACTGTTTTAATTGTTTCCCTGCCTTCAAGACGACGAACTGCAGCTGCGCCATTGGCGAAGTCTTGAGCTGACGATTTTCCTACTCCCCATCAGGTCGAGGACGAGGTTACAAAGATCATGTAACCCTCCTTCAATGTGTACCTATCTGCTAGATTGAGACACGAAGCCCGGGATCGGTCGAGCCTCGAAGCCAGTCTACGACATCTATACAAGTGTTGCACGAGCCGCAAAGGAGGGCATGCCATTGATGAGTCTGTTGGCTAATGGGCGCTCTGCCGCGTATGCAGGAAACGGAAGAGATCACATCGTCCCTCAAACAAGTTGGCATTCTTTGACGACCCGTTACGGCTTTCGGATACACGGCAGGCTGGGAATCGAAGGCCGATACGCGACTATGAAGGAACGATTCGCCGATGCTGTTATGGACGGGAATGACCCCCGGGTGGCCCTTTGTGTGCATAGATCTTTGAGGGCGGAGAACCGCCCTCTACTACATCAAGAGAAGAACATGAGATAGCGGTGCTTGTTGCTTGGTTGAATCCACAACGTTTGTCCATCTTGAGTTGCCCTCCCAGAAACGACGCATGAGCCGGGCACGGGGCCAAGACGGACAACGACAATGGACAACCGCTGCACTCCACGGAAAACACGTAACAATTGACAAATAGACGAGCATTCCTGGTACGCAACCAAAAGTCAGTCCCCTTGGACTACGGCAGAGACAGTATGAAGTCATACTGCGAGACGAGCTTTGGAGTAGCCGCTCGTGGCCTCTTGACGCCCTTTGATTCGCTTGGATATTACCGGCTGCGCCCCGCTCCTCTGTATACGGCGGATTGGACAGAGTTACTAGGTGGGTTTCCGAAGGCCGCAAAGGGGCCCTCCCCCCAACGAGCAGGGAACAGACAGGGACTGGACCCCGACTTCCCAGCTGGTGTCTCCCCCACACCCGCGAATCCGGTGTCAAGAACGAAGCAGGCGGTCACAATGCGATGCGGCAGTCCAGCACCACTGCACCAGCATAGCAGACATGCTGGAACAGAGCGAGATATGCTTTGTCACAGACTCCCCCCGTTGGCTCCACCCACTATCTGTTCCTATCTTGGAACTGGCCCACCACCTAACATTGCCTTACCTCACGGCAGCTATCCATTCACCCTGCTGCTGCACCGGGGCGGGGGGCCTTGTCAGCGGGTACGGGGAACGACGGAGACGTGAGCCAGGACCCAGCAAAGCAGCAGCAGTACCAGCAATAGCAGCAACAGCGGCCAGCACACCACGGACCACGCAGGCAGACAGACCACCACACACCACACCCAGCAAGGCGTCACCTCTCAGGCTCTCACACCGGCGAGTCCTCGCACCTGCCGAGAGCTGCTGCGACAGCACCGGGTGTCAGCTCCCTTCCCGCTCACTCCCGCTTTGCTTCGTCAGGTCGTCTTAAACTCCCGTCCTTCGTCACCCCATCCCTTCCCTTTTTACCCCTCTGCTTCGACCACCCTCCTGACATTGACCAACTTCCAACATATACACCTCTCTACAACATCCGTCTTCTAGTAATGTCTGTCGACCAGATCACCTACTAGGCGCAACGCGTCTAGTCTCCGTTCATCCATCAGAACCGAACTGATCTACAGGGTCGAGTCGCTCCTTCCTTGCCTTATCTAAAGCAGGCAGGCTCCGGCTTCCATCGATACACAGACAACAGTCTTCACACCAATCCATCCATCATTCACTGCGACACTTGACGTACGTTTTATCGTGTCGACCTCGCTTTTACTTCACCATACCCTCGACTCCGAGTCACCGCCATTCCGATACCCGCAGCCATCCCCCTATTCCGATTCGGCGCGACTTCCAACTCCTGTGACATCATTCAGTCACGTTAACCTCCGGAATTCAACGGCTCCATCACAACAACCTGATTGCGGCGCGATACCGCCGATAAGCTCCCTGCATCGCCAGATCAACAGCTGAAGCGCTTGTGGTTTGCACACCTATCGCGCGCCAATACAGAACATATCCTAACCAACATTCCTTTCACCTCGGTCACTCGGGCCGAACCTCAACCATCCAAGATGAAGGTGCGCATAACTTGCTGCAGCAGGCATGCTACTTTGCAGCAGCTCACGACACCTGCTAACCCACGTCGCAGTATCTCCCACTGCAAGATTTCGATGCCGTTACTGGCGCTCTTAACTTCAACACACCGGATTGCAACGTTACAGGCGGATGCGACCTATACACGACCAAATCCACAGGCTCCGACAAGAAGCTTTACAAGAACATCGACAAAGACCTAAGTTCACAACATGCTGCGCTCCTCAAGTTGGGCGCAAGCCTGTCACCGCCAGATCGCGAAGCCATGCTGGCGACATCTCCCAACATGCAAATGTTCTCACACTCGAGCGCGTTTGGCCCCTTATCAGAACTCGCAAGTCGCCGGACATTTGCTTATCTGATTGCGACATTGAACGCGAGTCATCAACACTACGATTTCTCGCACGTTCTCAGGCCAGGCGACTTCAAGAAGGAAAGAAATCTGCGCAGAGTGATGGGAAACCTCGACTCAATTTTGCAGAATGTCAGACCGCATGTTGAGGCACGACCGGTTGAGCAGGCCACGTCTTCGGAGACCAAGCCGGTGTGGGGCCCACAGTGCTGGTCCAAAATTGATAAGGAGATGCGCCTTAACGAATGCACCGTCTTCAGCTATAATCCGGACGTCGACCCTTTTGAGGAAGATGAGTCTGCAATCTGGGCTGCTCACTACTTCTTCTTCAACCGCGCCTTGAAGCGAGTTGCCTACCTCTATGTCCGCGTCGTTCCGGTCGTATCGTCACAATCACCGCGTCTGCAACCGGCGCTTCCGGGTTCCGTTAAGCGGACGCGGAGTACCCAGTTCGATGCACTTGCCGGCAACAAGCGCGCTAAATACTGGCTGGGTGACCGCGACGCCGAGGTCGTGGCACCGTACGAAGATGACGAAGAACAAAGCGACGGCTTCCTCTGGAATCGGGGTGCCGATGGCGATTTGGTCCCGTTCTCTGATGACGACTACACTGAGGAGCGCTTCTATTACGACGAAGAGGACGACGACGAGAGCCTGTCTGACCGGAAGAGCCCGGTACGGCGGATGAGTGAGGAAGTCGTGGCCCACATGGAGATCTAAAGAGGGCCACTCCACACTGGCGCATGACCTCTCCTCGCTACCCCGTTTCATCGCCGTGAGAGCGGATGGGTCTCTCGTTTCTCTGAGTTTATCAGCTGATGCTATCAGAGCCATTATGACGAAATGGGGTCACTGATTCAACACCACTTATCGGCTCCACACAACCGCTGAGTCACGACAACTCCTCGAGTGTGGAGTTGTCACGATTGCTTCGTAACATGGGCACTCTTCAACGGCCCAGATTCAATGAGTTTACTTTTACTTTATTTTCATTGACTACTTTGCAGCTTATTTCTCGTACTTTCTTCTTTGTGCTTTTCCTTGTCCTCGGACTTGTACGCTGGCGACTAGTTTTGCATGTTTTTTTGTTTTTTTTTGCGCTTCTTTCCTACGGTCTCGAATGGTGGCGGCGATACCCTCATGCTTTCTCGCCAGGTGGCGCTGGCTAGGAAATAGTACCAAACGGAGGGGTTTAGGGTAACTTGGTGCATGCGGTTATCGGTCCTGGATGGCAAACAGGATTCAAATGGAGCGGCCGCGGATGACAAATGGGTCAAATTAGGAGTTTCTTGGGTTCGTGACGTTCCAGCGACGGTCGTATGGCAGCGACATGTTTAGCGACAAGGACTGTTGTTGGAGTTGGGTTCCGAGGGGCACATGCCAAAGGGAATGTTTTGCGATTGTTCTGGTTTACCGTAGTCTACCTCGCGATGAATACGCAGTCGTAGTACGCAATGATGAAATGAGTAAAGCTCGTAACCTCAAGTCTCTGGATGAGTACCAACATATTTTGACTGGAACTCCTTCTTAGCTACATTCTCTGCCTCGCGTTTCCTTCCTCGATGTGGTGTATGTGCTTATTGACCCAACGAGCATGAGTATAGATATCTCCAGTCCCTAGATTTCTGGACACAAAAGAAGGATCCTCGATTGACAACATTATACGTAGTGTGATAAGCCCTCGCAGTTCAACTCTCCGCCCCTTGTACCGAACGAAGATTCCTTTAGAGATTCCTCTCTTGGGAGGATGACAACAGATATTCACTGTACTGCTGGAAACGATCGTGGCTCTTCATCTAAGCATACAGGATTCCGAAGATGATGCCAGGATCACGGAGTAGGAGCATCTTCCGTCTCCAGCGGCTTCTGCGCATACACATTGTAACTATAAAGACCATATTAGCAACAATATTTCCAACCCCTCCAAAGGGGCAGAATAGGAAAGAAACAGGTGCTGAATAGGAGAGGAAAGAGACGAGGAAAACTCACATATCAAACATGGCATGAAACGCCCCAAAGGCACCAGTCTTCAACTCCTTCCTCACCGCCGCAGTCTCCACCAGAATCTCCTCCTGCGTCCGCCCCAACAACTCGGAAAACAATTTCAACGAGAGTGCTTCGAGGCCGTCAATCGTCAGAATCAGATTCATCATGCCCAGGTCCTTGTGGAACTGGTCTTTGGCCCAGGGGCCCAGCGGCGCCTTGATGCGGCGGGCGTGGACTGCGTCCGAGGGGAAGCAGCCGCCGCCCGAGGCGACGAGGAGGGAGGCGAGATGGGGGGCGACGTCGGTGTCGCGGCCCATGCCCTTGCAGGCGCGGCTGAAGCCGTCCATCCAGCGGGCTGTGGCGGAGGATTGGGAAAAGGTGTCGTCGTCTGAGTAGAATTTTGTGGTGACGTCTTGGAATTCGACCCAGCCTCCTGGGGTTAGGTGGCTATTTTTTGTTTTTTTGGTGTCAGTTTAGTTGGTCAACCTGCTTTCCCCCCCCCCCCCCTTTTTTTTTTTACCCATCACGATATGGACAAGGAGGTGATGTCCTGGTGTGATAGGCAGGAGGAGGGGAAATCGACGAATAACGTACTCGTAAATGTTCTTGATCAGACCCGGCCAGTCTTTGATGGAAGCGACCATGTACCGGCACATGATGAAGTCGTATTTCCTGTGGTGGACCC